TCTGTATGCCAGTAGTTACCTTAGTGTCTGACACACACTATGTACACAGTAAACATGCCTTAAAAGTACAACAACCCAGCCATGTCTGAAGAGAGATTTGTTTGCCAGTTTGAGAGGAATTTTTTTTTTTTTTTTTAACTTTTTTTCGAGATAGGGTTTCTCTGTGTAGTTTTGGTTCCTGTCCTGGATCTTGCTCTGTAGACCAGGCTGGCCTCGAACTCAGAGAGATCTGCCTGGCTCTGCCTCCTGAGTGCTGGGATTAAAGGCGTGTGCCACTACCACCCAGCTTGAGAGGGATTTTTAAGGTTCTCAAATACTTCACATGAAGCTGAGGAAATACTAAGGACTCAAGTGTAACTGAGTTTTAGAAGCCCTGTAGACAGATGTGTAGATTCTCTTCTTTCATGATTCCCAAGGCCCAGAGCCTTAAGATGTTAGAAGTCCAAGCACCTATGTTCTCTCATATGGCCTCCCTGCTCATCCCCTCAGTGGCACCATCCAAGCCTCTCTAAACTACAAGCAACCTCAGTCACACAGCGACAGCTTACTGCTACCACCAGAGAGATTGCAGTATGCAATGTAACCCTCTTCAGTTCACAAAGAACCATCACTGAACATCTGTTTCAATTCATGAGTCCAGGCCTCTGGCCCAGCTACATTAAACAAATCATCACTATAACAGTATTTGTAAAATATTGCAAAATTTGGGGATCAAATACTTTACTGAAGATGGCATTTTTCCCTAAGGCATTCAGTGTTTAATTTTTGTTACTGTTATTCCATGTTATCTATCTTGAGTGGTAAAGAAGTTTTTTCTTTAAATATAAATGACCTTTGGCTATAAACAGATCCACATATTATTATTTTTAAATTATGATGTAATAGTTATTGTAGGAAAAGAAAATCTAGCAGTGAAAGCATCTTAAAAGGCCATCCACTCCTGTCACAGGCGGGTTTCTTCGTTACGTCCTCACAGAATAAATCACTTAGTCATTATTACTTAGCACTGCCAGAGATCTGTTATTGTCTCTTGATATCTTTCTTTAGTGCTTCACCACCTTTGCTGTTCCCCATCAATGTTTCTCTTGCTTCAAATGATGCCATGCTCCTATTCCTTCATTTCTGAAAGAGATTCAGCATGGACAATTTGCATTCTCTATTGGGATCAGTAATAGTGCCGGGCCTCAAAGAACCAAAGCCTGGCAGCTTTTGTGCAGGTGGAACAACGCTGCAGATCACTGTGGACGAGGGGCAGGAGGACTGAAAGAGTCAGAGATGGTGATGGCTACAAGGACACAATAGCACAGCTGTGCATATGTGCTCTAAGGCTTGTGACAGCATGCACAGACCTGTAAGAGTTCAGGTCAGTCAAAATGCCAGCATGGGGAGGAGAACAAAACCCCATCGCTAACTGAGAAGCTATTGGTTAAGGATAGCAGGGGCACATTTGGTTCACTAAGGGTGTGACCTTGGGAGGTCTAACACACATAGTGGATGACCCCAAACCTTAGAGTATATGGGCAGCACTAATGAGACTTGATGGGTTTTAAGAAAGTGAATGAGGAGACAAAGTCAGGTTGATATAAAGTAGGGGGTAGATCTGGGAGGAGATGGAAAAGTCAGTCAAATGGGAACATGATCAAAACATAATGCATACAATTCTCAAATAATAAAAATTAAAAGAAGATGCTTTGCCTCAAATTTCTCCCAAATAAGGATGCTCAGAAAACTGGGAGTATAATTTTGGTCTGAGATTAACTTAAAAATTGAGTCTAAATTAAAATAAGTTATAAAATCAGAACATGAATCATCTAACAAGGAATTTCCACAGTAGAAAAAGCAATTTCCTGTATGATTTGAAGGTCCTAAAAACGGTTTTCAGTTAATTGTTCTATTTTGTTAATTACCATAGCATGAAACTTTAAAACAACTGCAAATTCATCCATTCTGTGGGATAAGTTCAACTATAAACTATGAACACTAATACATCTGTCCAAAGCACATACTCAGAATAACTTTGGATTAATTAAAAAAACAGGTTATCTTCTTATGACACTTAAAAATCAAAATGAAACAAGTAACATAGTTATTAGTTGTCCTAAGGAAGGGAAATATTGGTCCCAAAAATTTACATATAAATTCCTCAACTAGGTTTGAGTGTTGGTTCAGACTAAGCATAACACACCTGATCACCATGTGCTAAGTGTATATGAGCATTTTCTCTAGTCCTCATAGTAAGTCCCTAGGGATGAGAGATGTCGCTGCAAACCGAGTGGTTACAATCTTAAGTGGTTTACTGAGATTATTTATCATATCTGTTAAAAAATCAGATGAATTATAGACATAACAGATCAAGTTTCCATTTTCTGAAAGTCAAACACTGAATTATGATCAGCATATCTCCCTAAGTGAGGAGAAGCATGTTTTTAGAGTCTGCTATAAGTCTCTACTGTCTAGCTAAAGCTCAGCCTTATAGTCTAATGGCAAAAAGGTAAAACAGATTTGTTTTCAGTAGAACAAGGCTTGTTTCCATACCGCTGTGCCTTTCCATTGGCTCTGCTGGATTTCACTTTTAAGAAACACAACCTGTATAAGAGCCAGTTGAACAGTACAGTAGGGCTTCCAAATTACACGAATCATCCACATATGAGTATCTTTAAATAGTTTAGTCTATTTAAAAAGTAAGTTATTAAATGAAAATTTTCTAATGTGAATAGACAACCACCATATGACATCATATCAAATACTGATTTTGTACATCCAGTGCAGAGAGATACACAGAGATCAAGTGAACTAAATCTTTCAATACTTGTTTGGATTTTCTTTTTACACTAACTTGAAAGTGAGCTGATGGCATTGTAGGGAGCCATATAAACACGGCAAGCTGTTATATCACAGCTTAATTTTACTGATTCTTCTTTGAAGTTTTCAAGACAAGAAAGATCTTTACAATAATTATCTAACAGTCTTTTTCTTTGTTGCTTTAAATTTTAATGCTGACTAGAATTTATAAGTCTCTCCAGGGAGGAAGGGATCACCAATAAAATGAAGGCTGAACATGCTCACTGGACTTAGAAAAATGAATGCCTTTTTTAAAATGAGTATTTCAATACAGTAGTGGAAGCAGAAGTCAAGATAAACATAAATTTAATAGAGGAAATGAGGGAATAAGGTAACATATAGACCTTAAGAAAATACCAACACAAAACTTCTGGCTACAGAAAAGAAGGGAGGCTTCAGTGTCTAGGAAGGAGGAGAAGGCACCTCTAAGTATAAGACAAGGAAGTCAACTCATTGTATATTTAACAGCAATAAAATATTTTACCCTATAACACATTCATATTTGAGCCAAATATTTTTACATTAAGCCAGGTTATCACCAGGTCGTGCTGGCACAGGCCTTTAATCCCAGCACTCAGAAGGCAGAGGCTGGTGGATCTCTGTGAGTTTGAGGTCAGTCTGATCTATAGAGTGAGTTCCAGGTCAGCCAGGGCTGTTACACAGAGAAACTCTGTCTCAAAAAAAAAGACTGAGGTTATCTTTAGAGCTACCACTCTTTTACATTCTAAAGCAAAATGCCTAATATGCCAGTCTAAACATATCTTCCATTTCTCAACAGGGGGAAGCTGGAGTACATGAAAGTAATCCCCAATACTGATAGCTCACTGTTGTCCTCGCTGTTTTAACAGAATCACATGTGGAACTTTATGATGCTTCTTATTCTTATCATACATGTTTTTTATATATATATATATAATATACATATATACATATATATATAATATATATACACAACATTGTGATATATTTGAAAATGGTATATATACCACTAAATTGTTCTCTAAGAGTATTAAATATTTTGTTTATTAGCTCCATGGCCATTTATATCAAGATATGATATATTGGTAAAGATTTTTCTCTCTCTCTCTCTCTATATATATATGTATATATATATACACACATATGTATATATATACACTCACATATATATATACTCACACACATATATGAGAACTCTATCTATTAATCTATCTATCTATCTATCTATCTATCTATCTATCTATCTATCTATCTATCGTTTCTTTATTCTGACTTAGATCAAATCTAAAACCCTGTATCAATTTAACTCAAAACCACTGTGAGGTAGTCTAATCTGAAAAGAAGCTGGCATCAAATAAGATGAATTTCCAAAATAAAATCTTGTAAATTAATAAGAAAGTTCCTGCTGTTGTCTACTTCACAATGAAATCACTAACAGAAATGTTAACTCAGTTTATTTTCAATGAACTGATTTTTTAAAAAAAGTTTGTTAATTTGTTTAAAGAGGTTGCTAAGCTCCCCAAAGTACTGAATAGGCTACAATCAAGAAACTTTTAAAACACGGCAGAACTGCAGTTCTAAGAAGGTAGCAAGTGGGCTCTATCAGTGGCACAGAGCGGAGGTTAAAAATTCAAGCCCATGGCCCACCCTATCTTAAGGCTCAGGTCCCAGAAGAACTCTATAGCAGCATCCTAAGTTTTAGAGAAAAATCTTTAGGATCAGCCACTTTCCAACCTAAGATGTAGATCATCTGTCTACTCAGGTATACTTTAAAATACCCCAGGACCAACAATAACTAACATGAAGACATTTGTATTTTCTCATTCTTAAGTACCTTACAAAATGAGTCTATGTATATAACAAAAATGATCAAATAACTAAAAAAATCATTTACATGAAATTTGATTCATTTTACAGACACTGACATCAATTTCCCTTCTTCTATACTTTTCTAAAAGTGAAGGGATTCTGGGATGGCACAGAGATCAGCCTGTGTTCTGTAATTATGTACAAACCTCTCTAAAGAGCCTAGGGTTAAGAGTGGATGGTCAAAAGACCTACACAGAATTTTCTAGCTCTTAACAGAATACAAAGTTGTGTTAGCACTCAATAGTTCAAATTAGCTTTACAATGTCTTCTCTTTCACAAAATCAAATGGTTTTTGTAGAGAGAATACTTACTGCGATAATATCTAATGTGTTATCACAGACTTTCCGGATTTCATTATTCTTATCATGCATCAGGTCTATGAGATATGCTGGAGCTTCTGAATAAAAGCGGTTAAAGAAAATGAATTAAGACTGTAGCTCTTCAGTTATATAAAAATTATACACACCATATGGCAGCATTCACACTCATGCATGCATACACACACACACACACACACACACACACACACACACACACACACATTCCGTCAGAAAGAGCTATAATTGCTTTCTTGATCTGTCATGTCCATGATATTCAGGGAAACTTATTTCATATGAAAGTGAATAAGAGCAAATAATGAATCAGTCAAATCTCATAAAGTTATTATAGTAAGAAGGAAAAAACTGGAGACATAATAAGTCATTTTAAACAAGATAAAGCATTTTAAAATAGAAGAATTTAAGGGAATAGCAAAATATATGTGACATATATAAATCAGAATTAGAAAACCCAAAGAAACAAAAGAGTTCAAAAAAGAACATGAAATAGAAAATGAATATAAAAATAAACACAACAGACTCCTAAGAGAAGTACAAGGTAGAGAGTAAGACAACTTACATATAAAAACTAAATGGATAAAAGGGTTAGAAAATTAAAACACAGTAAGGATAGGCAAGGGGTTAGGAAGAGAGCTCACAGTAGAGTGCTAGTCTTGCAAACTTGAGAAACTAAACTCATTTCCTAGAAACTACATTTAAAAAGTGGGTGTGGAGCCGGGCGGTGGTGGCGCACGCCTTTAATCCCAGCACTCGGGAGGCAGAGCCAGGTGGATCTCTGTGAGTTCGAGGCCAGCCTGGGCTACCAAGTGAGTTCCAGGAAAAGGCGCAAAGCTACACAGAGAAACCCTGTCTCGAAAAACCAAAAAAAAAAAAAAAAAAAAAAAAAAAAAAAAAAAAAAGTGGGTGTGAAGGTGTGAGCTTGTAATCTCAGTGCTGAGAAGGAGGTAGGTGAACCCCGGGAATCACTGGCCGGCCAGCCTAGTGCACTTGCTGAGTTCCAGGCTAATGAGAGGCCCTGCATGAAAACAGTAAGGTAGATGGTTCCTGAGGGATGACAGCTGAGGTCATCCTCTGGCTCCACACACACAGGTGCACATTCCCTTGCAGATGCATGTACCTGCACACACAGGAACATGCACACATAATACACACAATAAATACAAAATAGATAAGGAACTGTAAATTTAAATCCCTGAGAAGAAATACAAAGCAATAGATACAATAAATAATAAAAATATTTATTTTTTAAATAAATATTAAATAAGATTTAAATAAAAATAACTATAGTTCAAGAGGACTTTCCTAGGGGGGCGTAGAAGGGGCGACTATATATGTGAAAAGCATATTTGTAAAATTTGACAGAGGATTCTAAATCTAATTCTAGTAAAACAACTTGATGCTAAAGAAAGTAAACATTCTTTTAGTTTTCTAACCAAAACACCAAGTCACTTCTAGGACAAAAGAAATTAAATAGTTCTCAGAATTAGGACAGAAAATACTCTACGGAGCTCTCCTTGGATGCAATTCTAGATGGATGACAAATATCTTTAAATTGCTGAATGAAGTAACTGTCAACCTGGAATTCTATATTATGCTAAATTATTATTAAAATGACAAGCTAGTTATTTTCAGATAATCCTATTTTATTGTTTATATATAATATTACTACATATAAAAATCCTTATTATAAGTGGGAGTCAATTCAAAAGAATAGCAAAATAAAATACAAGCAAAGATAGGAGTCAAGGGAACAGAACAATATATAAATTTTAGGTAAGCACTGGTTTTTTAAAAGGCAATAATTAAAATGTTAAGTTGTATAGAAATCTATTATTTTGTAGCATACACACATGCATGCATGCATGCACTTGCACGCGAATTTGAAGGGAGATTCTCTGGGCATCTACACCATGTGCTTCTAGAGGCAGTGAGTTACTAAACAAAATCCCCAGGGCCAGGGGTGGGCTACCTCCTGTCTGTTATTAGTCAGGGAGAGAGACCATGGAGGCCTCCAAAACAATGCATGCTCTTCTCATTACTGTCGGTTGTCCACAAACCCGACGATGTGACCTTACTGCATGAGACAAAACACAACTTGAGTTAATAGAGAAGTAGCAATTGAGCTGGGAAGCACCTCCTTGCTGGCCAGCCTTCCAAGTGCCAGAAGGGGTTAGGAAGAGAGCTCACAGTAGAGTGCTAGTCTTGCAAACTTGAGAAACTAAACTCATTTCCTAGAAACTACATTTAAAGTGGGTGTGAAGGTGTGAGCTTGTAATCTCAGTGCTGAGAAGGAGGTAGGTGAACCCCTGGAATCACTGGCCGGCCAGCCTAGTGCACTTGCTGAGTTCCAGGCTAATGAGAGGCCAGAAGGTGACATGATAGCTGCCAGGAGATAAGAGCTATCAATGGGCTTACCTCTGTCTCAACCCTATGAACTACAAAATCAACTAGCCAGGCAAGATGTGCCCATCTGTGCAACAGTGCCCTGACTGTTATGGGGGTAACCAAAGAGTGTCTTCTTGGATTTGAGGCCTGCTCCACAGGAGGGAATCCATGCCAGACATTGTAAACTCAGTAAAAAATCCATGCCTGGGAGGATTATAGGCCCTAGGGAAAACTGACTACGGCTGTTTAGCTAAGTTGATAAAGCATCAAACTGCCTTCTAATTATCTACGTTTATACACATAGGTGAATGCTATTCTCAGCCTCTATAAGTGAAGGCCCTCTTTAGTACTCACAGAAAATCCTTAAGATGAAATAGGTTGTCTTTCAAATTAGTCCCCTAGCAACATATGGCTGTTATTCTGTTTTATGCAGTGACTTTTCATGAACAATTTTTTATGGGCTAGAGAAACAACTTAGTCTTTAAAGTCTACAGCTCACTACCAAAACTTTAAGAATACTTTTATATTTTGTCTGTGTCCCAAAAATTTGAGTGAGGGTGAATTCAAAATTAATGGACTAATTAATTTCATGGAGAAGATTTCAAGACAGCATAGTGTTCAGGCTCAGAAATCTTCCTGCTGGCTCCTTTTAGCTGGGTTTTTGAAGCGCAAAGCAAAGATGTGAAAAACATGCAGATTGACCATTAAAGGAGTAGGAGTGCAATTAAAGCTTAAGGCAAAGAGGCTATAGGCTTTAAAGAGATTAATACTACTAAGAAAAAGTGAAGTAATTTCCAGTCAGCCAACAGAACGATAGGAAAGGAGCTTTGAAGATATTTCTATGGACTCTATCCATTACAAGTTCTACAGTGCAAAACTTCAAACCAAGACTTTCCTCTAGAAATAGCAAGCTCCAGGGCACCTTCCCGAAAAAAAAAAAAAGCTACCCAGGCATGCGGAGACTGCTGTACCACCAGTGCACTCAAGCAGGTTGTCTACCCCGGTACTGTCCACATGGACTGGTTTGCAAATATGCTCAATGAGGATTTATGGGCTTATGGAGGATTGCACCAAGGTTCCAGAGAAAGTCCTTGAAGGCAAGCAGTGTGGAGATATGTTGGATTTCCCACAGGAAGCCCCTATGAGGTTTATGCACAAAGCTATGACAGTAAAGTTGAAATGGAGACCCTTAAGGTGTTGGAGATAGCAAGAATGCTACAGGCACTAACGTGTCATGTACCTCTCCCATACAGTCTAACCATCATTTTCTAGGCTGTTCTTAGTGTACTTAATTTGTTCTGTGGTCTATTAGGTGAAGTGGAGTTTTACACTCGTGGTATGCTGGCATTCACAAAGGGTCTGATTCTGGAGTACCACAGGTTTCAGATGTTCTTTTAATCCCATACTAATTTCAGCTAAACAATTCCCACAGAGAAGAGATTCCATCTTAATTCATTTCAAAGTCTGCTGTTTTCTATAGTATTTCAACATTTGAAAGAAAACACCAAAAATGAATGCTTCTACAATTGTAAATTATTGTTATATATTTTAAACCTTGAAAGGATACGCGTTTCCTTGATTATGACATCTCTTGTGGCCTGATGGAAAACCATTTGGTAGAAGACATAAATTATCTGACACACAAATTCGTCATCCTCTTGCTGAGCTGAAAGAAAACAGAAGCTTCCATGACAGAATTCTCTCTTTCCACACTGATCTCAAACATTTGGGAAACAGAGTTATGGTCACAGGCAGACAAATAACAGCACTTGAGTTAACCGCCCCCCCCCCCCCCACATTGACCGCACATAGGAAGAACATTTAAAAGTGACACCTTCTAAAGTATAAGTCCTTATTAGAATTGGACTCTTGGGGTAGAATGTGGCTCAGTGGAAGAGCACTTGCCTAGTATTTGTGACAACCTGGGTTTGATCACCAGAAACACAGGAAAAGAAAAAGAAAATGGACTATTATAAAAAGATGTTTGTTTAATAATATCCACAAAGTTAAACTTTACATATATTGGCATAAAAGAGGTATTTTGTTTTAATCCAATTATTATAATAAAATGCTAGCATAAGGGCTAATTATAAGTATTTACATTTTATGCTAATAATGATGACTAATAAATGTTTAGTAATAAAAACTTGTAATTTAATACAATTACTTATAAAAATCCACTGAAATGTGATTTATTGATAGAGTATTGCTATCAACTCCTGGCAGCAATTCAATGACATGTTAGAAACATATTTCCTGGTGACTATAGTGTCTACTTAGCCATGTGAACTAAACTGTGGGCTTCTTCAGGTCTAATCTGCCTCAGACGATTTGCATCACTAATTTCCTAAATAAACCATTCCTATGAACCATTCTCTTTCCAGATAGGGTCTGCTCTAGGAGGTTTTCAACACTGAAAATGTACATAATTCTTTTTTCCCTATGTAGATTTTAAAATCATACATATCTCTCCCTGTGGAAAGCTCATATCAGAGACTATAAACACAGTAGAACTCTGAGCTGCTGCCAACTCACTTTGAATATCTCAGCACTCTCAGTTAAATTACAGCAGAACATTCTAAGACATGGGTCATTTTCTAACTTTTGCAGCTTCACAAGCTCTTCATCTTCTGTCCATTAATTTTTACTCCCCAACTATCTAGTTTCTTTTAATTAATTCTAATCTATAAACTTCTGGCTGTGAGAAGGGTACGTGAAAATAAATACATATACACTATACTTTTGAAATGGAATACTTTATAATATGACTATATCATTAGATGGCCTTTTAAATATTAAAATTACAAAGCAAATTAAAAAAAACTCAAAAAAGAAAATGTACAAAAGACTTACATAGGTAACTCATTTTATTGGCCTTGCCTAACCTAAACGGACAATAAACACAAACTAGAGGTCAATTTCATTAACTATCAGGGAACTTGAAATTCACACCACGAGGAGATACAGTAGGAAGGCTGCAGCTAACGGACTGACAATGCCTACAGTGGGGTGACAAAGAGCAGCTTTAACTGTCCTGCCCTGGTAACTGGACTGAAAACTGGCACCATTTACTGAAAGCTAAACAGAATGCCAACTCTCTTACTCGGCAAGTCTACTCTTAGGTACACACCTAATAGAAATGAGCACATATGCTAACAGTTAAAGGAAAGGTTTTAGAAACATTATTTAAACAGTTACTATCCCGAATGCCCCATACCAAAAAACCCATCAATGGTACAAAAGATAAGAATATATTTACAATATAATACTATATACAGCAATGAAAAAGAGCAAAACTATACGTAACATAGATGGGTCTCATAAATATATATAGGATAAAATCAGCACAATTTCACTTACACAGTTAAAACCCAAGCCAAGCCAACCTTTCAGTGATATAACTCAAGACCAGAATGACAAGTAGTTTTCCTCTGGTGTGGACCCTAGCTTTAACCCTTTTGTGTTTTACCATGCAGCACAGGTGGAAGCCAGGGAACTAGAAAAGGGTCCTGTGGGGACAGGTAAAGGGAGAGGAAGTAATAGATTAGGGAAAACCCAAGCAATGAGGTGACTATTGGAGTGGAAAGGCTGAAGCAGGGCAGAGCATGGGACGTGGGGGAGCCATGGAGAAAAGGGGAGGCTAACCCAAAGGAAAGAGACATGAAAAGCCACATGGAGCCTACTGTCTCACCACACAACAAAACTGAGTGGAGGGGCAACACATGTGCCATGGGGAAGAGCGCTGAGTGCTGTGGGCTAAAGGAGCCAGTGGGGAGGGGACACGGGCGAGGGAAGCAGGTAATGACAGCTTAACCAAAACTAAGGGTGTGTGAAAGGCTTTATGGAAACTTACGAGTTAGGAAGCTAATTTCAAAATACAACTTAAAAAACAAAAAAAGAGAATAAAATTATTACCCTACATGGGTGACAATCCTGTTGCTAGAAGACAGGTTAGTTTGCTAGAAGACAGGTTAGTAAATAAAAACTGCAATTCCAAGGCACAGGATACCTCCCTGTGAGTTACAGGTCTGGGAGGCCCCAGAGGTCTCTAAATACAGGCTGTGGCCATTGCCCTGTGTTACCCACCATAACTACATGGTAAGACTCTACTGCTAAAGACAGTATACATTTTGGCTTCAGGACACTAAATATTAACCTCAAACTGACTGGGAAACTTCCTTCCTGCTGTCTAGCTTACACAGTGCCAAAAAGTGCAGAAGGCTACTAGTTGAGAAAAGACATCAATGATCTAACCGAACACCAGACCACCCTGCATACTACAACACCAGTCTGCCAGAAAAGATGTGTCTACTGGTACATAGTGGCAATAATGTTATGGGATAACTAACCACCTTCTTATTGGATCTGAGGCCTGTTCCATGAGAAGGAATTTCATGCCTGGTACTGTAATCCTGATCAAAGCTTACAGTTAGGGAGGTCATAGACACTCTGCTAAACGGACATGCTGTCAAATAGCCTTCTCAATATTTATGCTTATGCTCACAGAACTGGGTTGTTCTCAGCCTTGGTCAGAGAAGCTCATTCCTGCAGTGAACAGTAGTCAACAGAGAGATGCAGAACTGGTCAAAGTCTGAGAAAAAGAGACTATGTGCTGCTTAGCCCTAATGGGACGTCTCTACTAACCAGACTACTAACATGGTTCAGGCATCACTGTGGAAGAGGAGGTGGAAAGAATGTTAAGAGCCAAATGATGGGAAGAGTGCTGTGCAAAGTGTCTTCTGGACATCACATGCCTAGTGCAATAAAGCACACACTACAGCTATGGTTACCTGCGTAAGACCCACGCATATCCAGCCAGCCTCACCCCTTACTGAGGGGCTATTGGCAGTGAACAGCTGCTGGGGAGGGAGCATGATTCTTCCTGAGGAAGCAGCCATTGCTTGCTATCCTAGGCTCCAGTGGACCAATCACACCTATGCACATAGGGGCAGCACTAACTGGATTGAGTGGGTTATAAAAAATGAAGTTGGAAAAAGAGTGTCTTGAGGGGGCATAGGAAAATCCAGAAAGGGAAAATGGGGTGGATATGATCATATTTCATTATGTGTGTGTGTGTGTGTGTGTGTGTGTGTGTGTGTATAATATATTTCATATATTATATATATGAAATTCTCAAAAAGGATGCTTAAAAGATAGAAAGCACTCAACAGGAAGCATTAATGATTGGGAAAACAGCAGCCATACTTCTAGAATACCAGTAAAATTTATTTCCCTACACAGGTAATGCAGTATGGCTATATTTACTTTGATGGTTTACTTATAGTTCGTGGATTTTTCTTATGTAGAGTATACTTCCAAACTGTCTACTAAAATTAGTAAAGTGTGTATCTATCTTATAAATGGCACTGGAAGGACCAAGAGGAAGAACTGTGCTTTCTTTAGATGTCTCACACTAAGTTTAGTTTTATATAATTAGCTACTTTTAATCTATAAAATGGAGTAGAACATCACCCCAATGAAATCATGTCAATTTCAGATAAATTTTATCTGAAATAGGGACAATAATGAGCCCTGGCCCCTCAAGAGCAATACAAAGTAAGGGCAAGACTCTAGGTCCCACTAATACTGTACCCTCACACTACTGTGGCTAATTCAATTGAAATTCAGGTTCTCAGTCCTGACAACCACATTTCAAGTGTTCAATGGTCACATGTGTTGGGCAGGGTAGATAAGATATAGGACATTTATTTTCCTGGCAAGTTCAGAGGGAAACACCTGTGGATCTAGAAGAGACTATGATGTTTAGAATCAGCTTCCAAGCTGATGTTTCTACCAAGAAGTTAAGACATAAAAAGGAAGGGTCGCACAACAGAGAAGAGCAAACTCAAACCAAGATAAAGTTAGACAGAAAGAAGTGATTCGGTAGAACACGTTGACTCTGGGAAAGGAGGGAAATGTCCACGGAATCAGTGCAGCAACCTCAAGTCCTTTCATATTGTTCTACGAAATCCCAGTTAGCAGCTTGTATAGTTCATTTTTCTTAACTACATAATTGAATTAATTCTATGATTAATGAAAGAAAATGCATATTATATGACGTTGCAGACTGTATTTTATATTTTCAAATTTAAAATAATGTCCCTTATGCACTGGCATGAAAGTGAGAATTACCATTCAGCAGTTCAATGAGTGCTGGGATTATCCCAGATTTCGCTAGAAGTGCGGCACACGAGTCATCCATAGACACAGTTCCAATCATTATAACCACTTCTAAAACAAGGTCGTCCTCCGCAGCACCTGGAAAATCAAGGCAGGGAAGGTTCTCACTGAGTGTCCTGAGCAAACCCATTTCTTGTGTCAAATGTGAGTGCACAGAAAAGATACTGAAAGATGTTAAATCCATCCCAATGAATCTTCAACATGCTTATAAAGTTGTCTTTTTATTTCAGATTTTTCATGTTTATCCATGACAGTCTGAGGAACTGGTAAGACAATAGGATGGTGCAAATATATTTTTGAAAATACAACTGAAAGACAATGTAAGCAAATGATTAAAAGACTCTTTAATGTTTCAAAAAACTGCATGTGAACTTCCACATCTGTATGTATTCATGGGGGCGGGGCACTTGTTCATAAAAAGACAGTAAAAATCTAAAACCAAAAATACATAGGGAAGATAAATTAATGTTAAGAAATCACTCTCAGGACAAATGAGGATGTACAGAAAACAGGTAACTTGGTAATCGTTTCTAAAAACAACGCTGTTGGAAGAGTATGCTGCCTAGAACAATGGACTCACACAATGCTGTGTGAGCAGCCCTATCCAAAACCTAGAGCTTAAGCAAAGCTATAAAATGGACACAGACCTGGCTTCAGCTTATCTTTGAGGAACGGAACAAGCTTGTACTCCTTCAGAACCAGCTCCCAGTCTAGGTCTGGGATGGTCAGATTTGCCAGAGTTCCCAAACACTCAATTACAAACTCCTCCTCTTCATCACTGGATATCTGGGCTGCAAGGTCCCCAACATAATCCTGAGGACAGCAGAATTGCAACAGAATTAAAATCTAGGAGAGGATACAACCTAATGCCTAAACCCACTGGTAGAAAAAAAGGCAAAACAAAACATAATTCTCATTTTAATTGAGTTAATTTTCTAAGGGTTTGATAATAAGCTCCAGAGAGGGTAGACTGATTGGACAGTTATAACATTACAATACAGTGTGGGATTTCTTTTTTTTTTTTTTCAGCATGTTGAAATAAGTGATTGTAGTAATTGTGTACAAAGGTAAATAGATAAGGGAAGAAGGGCAGTTTTCTCCCCTGTGGTCAAAACCTGCAGATCCTGGATTCAGAAGACTTAATCTCGACTCACAGATCCATCATTTACTGGCTGTGAACCTTAAGCATACTTTAATTTCTGAAAACACGATGATGCCTTTTAAGACTATAACATTGGAACTATCATCTATATGGTAACCACTTCACATATATCAAAGCTATTATCATCATTACTTCAAAACAAATCTTAAATCTTATGGGCTGGAAGTCAGGTTTCAAGTCAGAATTTATTTAATAACTGTGGTGATTATTTATCTGTGTCCCCCAATAAAATTTATCTGAGGATCAGAGGATAAAGGTCAGTCACTATTAGTAAAAACAGAAGTCATGCAATGTTAGCACACACCCTTAATCCATCTGGATCTCTGTGTGTTCAAGGCCATACTAGGGAACAGAGCCAAGCCGGTGACACACACCTTTAATCCCAGTACCAATCATAGAGACCTGGAGGTCTGTACAGACAGGCAGTGGCAAGGAAGTGACATAGCTGGGCTAAGATAGCCAATGAGAGAGCAGAACAGCAAGGCAATAAAGGTGAGGGTAAGACAGGAAGTAGCTCGAACTTTGGAAGCTGCGGTGTGGTAAGGTAAGATTAGCTGGTGGCTGTTCCGATTCCTCTGATCTCTGTCAGATTTTCACCCCTATTTCTGGCTCCGTGTTTTTTTATTTAATAAAACTGCTTGGAAATGCATCCATAATCTTATGGGCTGGAAGTCAGGTTTCAAGTTAGAGAGAATTTATTTAATAACAAGCCTATGACTAATATACTCAACAAATATTAAGTACCTGTTAAATGTTAATAATAGTGTTATTGTGGCAGAAATGTTGGGGAAAATATAAAGCCTGTTCTCATAGTACCTTCAGTCAGTAATTAACAGCATCCTGAGGCTCTTTTATGGTTATATGGCATGCATAAGTCAAAATGGTCAAGTTTTCAACTTTTGTAACTAGATAAATTAGACACTTTTGAAAAGATGGAAGAAAGAACATTTAGATAAGTAATTTGCTTCTAATGGAAGTACCAAGCTCATCCAACATCTTTAAGATTTTATAACCTACTACTGCAGAGTACAGGGGTGTGTTACCTGACAAGTTGTGGTAGGTAATGGAGAAAGAATTCTGGATTAAGCAGGTACAGGTGCTGACCATAAGCATGGGTCATGGAAATGTGGATATATTGTTTATGTTCTCTCTGTGTTGAAGATAGAGATTTCTAACATGCTAGTTGGTATTCATTGATGCCCAGATGTCAGTATAGACATAGTTTTAGAGAAATAAACAGATAATAAAATGACCCTCACTCTGGGAAGTAGCACTTAAGCAATCGTTGGCACAACTATCCAAAAATGCTTGGGCTGGAGCAGCCAGGAGGCAGAAGAGATAGAAATAATCCCCTGAAGACTAACTTCTCTGCCCCTGTTCCTGACACAGTGCTGGACCCTGCATTCACCTGGAGTAGTGGTGCATTTCCTAGCTGGCCAAGAAACCACTGTGGAGCTTTCGGAAGTAGAATGCTCAGTCATTGCACTCCCATGTGAAGTGGATTAAAACTTACTGATATAGAACAGTAGAAGACCAGTTCGTCCGAGTGAGACACAACATAGCTGGACACAGGCCTTTCTGCTTCTCTTTCATCTGGGTTATTGGACCTTACATGACCTCAGAAACCCTGAATCTCATAATTTCACATCACAGTAGGGATAACTGATCAGTATCCATCCTGCCAATTTTAGTAGGATGCCAAGTATGCAGTAACTTCTTACTGTAGTTTAAACCATATCTTTCAGAAAAAACCTGAGTCCAAAGTCCCTATGTTGGGCCAGTTCATGATTAGAGAATTTAAGGACTAGGGTCATCTGAATTACCTCCTTTGTCTTCTCTTTTTTGTCTGTTTCATCTTTCTGAAGCACTTACAAATTGATGATGTGTGCTCTGTAACAGGCAGGCACATGAGTAAAGCTTTAACTCTGGAATGGATTTGAAGTAGAATAATCATGACAGCTCATTTGTCTCAGCACTCACTTGGTATCAGGAGTTTCTCACCACTTCATTATTATTATTATTACTCTTTGAGAATGGGGCTCTTTCTGTAGTCCACAGGGGAGACAGTGAGACGCAAAGAGGTTCAATGACTTACCCAAGCATCTGTGTCAGAGCTCGGGTTCTTTACCATCCTGCTCTTTTGCTTTCTCTTTCAGAACTCTGGGGAACAAACAGTGACAAAGTAACAGGAAGCACACCCTTGGCAATGCACATGTGCCTGCCATGCTGGGCCCTTGCTCTGTGCTCCCATCAAAGCAGAGGAGAGCACACCAGGTGCCCCAACTACTTTCTAAAACTGTAAAGAATTTTTGTTCCATATTTTTATTTTGTTTATTGTTTACATTTGTGTGTGTGGTGTGGAGCACATATGGAAGTTAGAGGACAACTTGAAGGAGAAAATGTATCAAACTACTGCAAAGTATTAATATGGAACTGAGTAGGTATGAATACGTGTACAGATGCCTGCACATGCACAGAGGTCAGAGACCAACTGAAGGAGTCAGTTCTCTCCACTGTATGGGTCTTGGGATTGAACTGAGGTTGTCAGAGGGTAATTTAATTATGTTAAATCACTGTTATTAATTGTTGACATTAATGGGCTTTCTTATAACACTGTTATGCACATACATAAAAATTCTGACTATATTCACACATCATTACCTTAGCCTGACTCCTTCCTTTTCCTAATAGCCTCTTCCAAGGGTTCTTTTTTTCTTGAATATACTGTAGACTGAGGGAAGCCAGACTCAGAAAGACAGATGCCACATGTTCTCTTCTGTGGATCCTGGCTCTGAATCTTTTCTTTCATTTAATCTTTTGAGAATTTTACTCATTAGTGCTATTAAGCTCATAAAGGTTCTCACAAATGTAGAGGCAGCTTGAGTCTTGAGTAAACATTTGAAGAGAACCCAGGAAGAGCTGTCATCCCCAAATGCAGCAACTTAAGGCTATAGTCTCAAGGTTTTAACAGACAGAAAGCTAGAAGCTACTCACGATGAACAGATTCTTAGTGGGTCCATCATGCTGGGAGATGTTTCTGATCATCTTCATCAGCAGTGGGTCCTTGAGCTTCAGGGCTCTTTTCATGAGCATCTTCAGCCCGTTACCTAGAATAGAAAAATGGAAATTTCTGCATAACACTAAGGTTACATTAAGCTTAAATAGCTTTTTGTTTGGGGTGCATCTAGTACAATGCAGAATCCATAAGTGTACAATTTGAATTAGACAAATGTATGTGCTGTGTAACCCAAACCACACGCCATATAAACTATGCATAGAATATTCCTGTTCATTCCCCTTGTGGCCTGCCTTTCAATTTTATTCCCCCACACAACTATTTCTCCTTCATCCTTTCTTTTTCTACTTCTGTAATTTATCTTTTCGAACATAGTTGAGCTTTATGATCTACAGCTTCATCAAAATAGGCTCATACAACAAATGCTTTCTTGGGTTTGGGTCATGTTCTACAAATTAAAAAAAAACACTTTTGAAAAAAATTATATTTCTAGGAATTCTAAAAATACAAAACTGGAAATTTCATAGACAAAAGATAATTGCTACAGCACTGTTTATGCTTGAAAAGTGCAACAAGTTAACTATGCAAAAGAGTTGAGTAGACCATGACAAAATCGAAGCCCAATTATGCTTCGATTTTTAAATGAACCTATTTTAAATATGTTTGTTATTATTATTATTATTTTTGTGTATGTGTGCACAAGATGTTTGTGTGTTTGTGTGTGCTATGGCATGCATGTGGAGGTCAGAGGACAACTTTGAGTATGCAGATCTCTCCCTTTATATGGGTTCTGGGAATTGAATTTAGGTCACAAGGCTTGTGTGGTAAGCTCTTTTATCCACCAAGCCCCCTCACTAGCCCACTTTTATAAAAGTATTTTATTATATGGAATGATATTAAAAATATTATTTTGGAAGACCATTTTATAAGGCACAGAGAGAAAAATCACAGTTCCATTCAAAATTTTATAGAAGCATTGTACAAAAATTGATTGTATTTATTTCTGAGTGGTTAGAATAAAGATTTAAGATTTTTTTGCTTGCTCATTTGCAATTTTTTATAATGAACATGTACTCCTCAAATAAATAAAAACTGTTCAATAGACACTGAAACATCTAAGCAAGATAAGTAATTTATCAGGATACAATAGAAACAATAACCTGGTATTTTTGTTCGTTTGTTTGTTTGTTTGTTTTTTCGAGACAGGGTTTCTCTGTGTAGTTTTGGTGCCTGTCCTGGATCTTGCTCTGTAGGACATGCTGGCCCTGAACTCACAAGGATCTGCCTGGCTTTGCCTCCCAAGTGCTGGGATTAAAGGCGTGTGCCACCACTACCCAGCTTAAACCTGGTATTCTTCTATTTCATTACCTTTCAAATAAATGCAAATAGATTTGTGTGTAAAATATCACCAAGGAGTATATCCATCAGAAAAGGATATTTTATGAGACCCATAAGAATTATAAGCATACAGAAGAAACTATTTAAGAGAATTTGTTTGCATTGTATTCTTTCTTCCTTTTATTATATATTTCTCATTATATGCAAATACCGTATGCTAAAGAGGCTACCTGTGAAGCTTTGTGCACTGACCTTCACAGATGAGCTGGACATTTCTCTTGTTAGCAGCAAGATTAATGCAGAAAGAAATCAACTCCAAGTCAATTCGTTCATCTGAACATTCGAAGAGCATCTTCATTAACTAGCAAGAGACACAGTCATACTTTACTCAAAACACCAAAACAAAGCCCAGAAGTAGAATACATGAAGTATTCCCTTAAATTACATGTCAGAAATAAGGTAATCTGTATTTTACTACAAACTGGAAAGCTGTAACTGTTAAGTAGAGAAAAATGAGTAAATACGTAATGAATAACTAAATGACCAGTGTTAAATACAAATTTCAAATAGAGAAGAGAATGCTAGAAAATATCAAATAACAACTCGGCACGTCAAGGAACTGAAAATATTGCCTGGAAGCCATGGAGTCCGAATAAAGAAAACAGTTCACACAAAAGTGACAAGGAAGCAAAGGATGCAATTGTGCTGAAGACCTGAAGGACGTCAGGCATGGCTGATGAAAAGAAGCAAGTAAGAGCCAGATCCTGCAGCTCCTGTAACACATTAAGGATTCTGGGCTTCATCCTAAGGATATACCAAAATTACTAAACATTTCTGGGGAGGAAAAGTATCAGGAAAAGAAAGGCATGAAACAGGACAATGTTTTGTAACATACAGAGATTAGAATCACATTTTATTTAAAATTACACAGGATTACACAAAAGTAAACAAATAAGGAGAAAACGATATATGTAGAAAGAAAGTTCCAACTAAAATGATAGCTACCTGTGCTAGCTATGTTGTGCAACTGGGACAGAAATAAGAGGAATGATTAGAGATACATTTAGAGAAGAGAATCAGAGTGGTACTTAATAACTGACTAGACATCGGGACTAATGGAGAAAAGGAATCAAAGATGGGTTTGGCGATCCTGCACTGAGAATGTCAGGGATAATGTTGCCAACATCTAGTAAAAAGGCTGGGAGCTAAAAGGGGAAAATAGCACTTTTGGTTTGACACTGGTGGAGCTCAAGCTGCCAATGACAGTCTAAGTACAGATATTCAGTAGGAGGCTATAACAGAGGCCTAAGCTTGTGTCTTTATTGGAGGCATAATGTTAGAAATTGCCACATACGGCTAATTTCTAAAACTGCAGACTGGATACCGGAACTTGTGCATGGACATAAAATGAGAAAAGAAATTCAGATGGAGATGAAGAGAGGGTCTGAGAAGTAAAAAACACAAGTCAGGAAAGAAAAGAAAAGCTATGCATGCCAATAATGATTTACTTATTACGTATCTATGCATGTGTTTCTGTGGGTGGGTGTGCACGTGTGTGCAGGTCACTGACAAGCTTCTGTGGTGGGTGTGCACATGTGTGCAGGGCATTGACAAGCTTCTGTGGTGGGTGTGCACGTGTGTGCAGGTCACTGACAAGCTTCTGTGGTGGGTGTGCACGTGTGTGCAGGGCATTGACAAGCTTCTGTGGTGGGTGTGCACGTGTGTGCAGGTCACTGACAAGCTTCTGTGGTGGGTGTGCACATGTGTGCAGGGCATTGACAAGCTTCTGTGGTGGGTGTGCACGTGTGTGCAGGGCATTGACAAACTTGAGGGTCCTTCTCCAGGTGCTGCCTATCTTGTGTCTGGAAACATGGTCTCTTACTAGAACTCGCCAAGCGGCCTAGGCTGGCTGGCCGGCATCCCCACAGCCTCCCTTGTGCTTGCACCACCACCCCAGGCTTTCTCTTTTTAAAATGGGTTCTGGAAACCAAGGTCAGGACTTCATGGCTGTGTGGCAGACATTTTACTGACTGAGCTATCTCCCCAGCTCTGTACCAGTAAGCCGTAAGTGAGCAAATTTACACGATTCACAAAATACTCTTCTATTATGGGGAAGCCAACAAGTTAAATTAGTACATATTGAGTAAAGATATTTTTGGTAAGTCAAAGTTGCTTATAAGAGATAAAGATATAAATATATAAGCTTTATAGATAGATATAATAAAGACATAACATATAAAACAGTCTAAGACATATATTTCCATGTTGTATTTTAGGATAATACCTTATACAACCATATACTTTCACTAATAAGGTCCATCAAAATTATTATTATTATTATTATTATTATATTTTTATTTATTGAGGCTATAATTACATTAATTTCCACCAATTTTTTCTGCCTCCAATTCCTTCCATGTCCTTTCCTTCCACCCCAACACTCTCTCAAATTCATGGCCTCCTTTTCTTTAATTCTTATTTTGTATACAGTAAAGTGAGTAAATTTTTATTTTAGAATCTGATCTGCAAACTACGGTTTTACCTACTTTCTGTGTTTGCCCCAGATAGCTATAAAAAGGACACACAGTCAGCACAGTCAAAATCAGTAATTTTTGTTGTTAGCAGCAAACAGCTTGAAAACAGAATTAATTTAAAACACTATTCTATTCCAATTATCATGAACAATTATAGTAATGTGGTATAATATACATGAAGAAACTACATAACACTTTAAGAATTGAACTGCTGGCATGTATCATGTCCTCCCCAGAGGGCAGGTCACAAACCACAAATGAGTCACTAATGAATCTTTGAGTAAAAGATCATTAACACGTAGTAATGTTGTACTATAAAAAAACTCTAAGCCAAAAATAAAACGATCTTAATTTACTGGATATATATTTAACAGATTTGCTATCAGCCAATTAAAAAATAAACAAATTAGCAAAAAATGTGGACGACTATCCACTAATTAATGTAACTATGTTTTCATATTATAATTCAAAATCTTTTACTGCTATCTTCCTTCAGAACTTTTAGTAATATGAAACTTTTTATAATGAAAATTTATTACACTGAAGCAATGCTTTAAGAAGGTAAACTATTATAACAAATATTTACTTCAAATTTAGCCTTTGAAGTATAAAAATTACCCTTGAAAAATGAGGTTGCAGGTGACATATTTAGAAGGTATGGGTTAAAAAAATAATTTCCTTGCTAAATATCTTGTAGAAACAATCAGATATGCTTTTTTAAAAAAGGTATGGCTTGAAAACTTTATTATCCCATCCATAAAACTGAGAAAGAATTTAAGTATGAGTAAAATGTATCCTAACAGAAAAATCACTGCTTCATCCTAATAAGAACACTTGCATTTTAAAGCACTCAAATTTCAAACCAGCTTAATTCAAACTCCAAGAGCCACAGTGCAGTTGTCTTTAATTTGATTGCTACCCATGGCACTTCAAACCCAAGGGTAATTACTGACAACTAGGAAATATTAAAACTAGATTTGTTCTGTTTTAACTGTCTGTTTTCATCTTTTACTAATCTAACAGGAAAGCACTAAAAGGTCTTCAGCCTGGGCAATGAAGAAGCAATAGCGTTCAATCAGACAAGTCCCATATTGAGTATCAGATACCAAAGACCCAAGACTGAAATCACTGTGTCTAGACTCTCTGGCACCTGACTTCACTTATTTACCAGTGACCAGAGGCCAACCCCCACAGCTCTCTGTATTCTCATACACCTCTGCCACCCCACCCCCACAGTCAAACATCTTTGAATGATTATGCCAGAACTGTGCATGCCGCAGGAATCTCTTCTGACTGGCTACTCCCTAGCTCTCCTGTTTGAAGTGATGTTCTGGTTTCTGAACTCAGCAGATAATGGCAGCAAGAGCAAAGAGGGCCGTCAGAAAGGACGTTTCCCAGCATTCAGCTAAAAAGAAGCATGCAGATCAAAGTGGGGCCAAGCAGGCCAACCGCGGTGGAAAACATGTGGATCCCTCTGATGACTCCTGCATGCTGTTCTGGGGCGAAATATTCAATAACACTATGACATCACTACCTAACCATGTACTTTGATTGGCCATTCTATTACCAATAAATACTTTTATAAGCATCTGGATGGCATTTGCACCTATTTAAACAAAACATGCAGCTCAGAGGTCTAAATAACAATGAACTGTTAATGTGTACTTTTAACTATTATTAGACTACAACCATTAACTCCTGGTTATCCAAATACGCTTACCTGAAACAATTCACCCACTGAGCCCATTAAGATCATACATTAAAAAAAAAAAAAAAAAAGATGACCTGAACTCAATTTTGAGGAATAATGACAAATAGGGGAAAGAAAATGAGAGCACATTGAATAATTTCAGGCAATAAAGTACAAAGAAAGCAAAGCAATGCAAGATTGGATGAGATTATGAGGAAGACTACATGCATAATCACCTACTCTGAACATTTGGTATTTTCAGAATGTGAACTCTAACCTAATTACAAGTTTATCCTGTAAACACATAGAAGATACTGCACTATGAATGAGTCAGAAATGATGAAAAAGACTCACATTTTACTACAAGTCATACTTTATTTATAGTCTAGATAGCACATATATATGCCATCTTATGTAATTAAGAATATAATCATATTAAACATTCTCTCTGATCACTAAAATAGATATGAATCATTGTGAGCCAATGTATTTCTGCCTTCAGAGTTATTACTGTCTTCTCTGAAAAATTCAGGTGTAATACTTTAAGACTTTTATTTTTAATCTTTAAAGAAAAATTAATGTCAATAATTAGAAAAGAACAAAGCTCACATTGACCTGCGGACACTGGCACGGTGACAGGGTCACTCTAATACATAGGTCAATGGGTATGCTGCCCTCAGTAACTTTAAAGCCCACCGGAAGCACAAATGCTGCCCCTGACAGGAGTCCATTTTTAGTTTCTGAAGGAAGTATTCTATTTTTATTTAACTTTTAATTTGCTTTCTATTATTCTTTTATTTTACAACAAACAATGGATGGCAACAAAATCACGTCAGCTTTTACTTAAGTATGTCAAAATTGGACAGTGCAAAATCAAAGTTACACGTTTCAATGGTACTTAAGGAATAAATATATTTTAGACTATCACTTGGTTTTATTAAAATGTTATCTTAATACTAAAATGTTTCAAGATATTTACAATATAATTTGGTATACTGAATCTCACTATTTCTCCAACAGTCAACTTTTCAGAAAGATAAAAGAGAGAACAAATAAAAACCCTAAAATTGTCAAACTTGAATGGTTTTTGGAAAATTTGACTCATGAAATACAGATGACAAATGTTTTAAAAATTTCTTCATCAACATGTGTGATATTAGAATGCTCTTTGTCAAGTATATATGGAGGAAGACTGTTTTTGAAAGGATGGGGGAACTGTTGTATACACCAAGTTTTAAGTTGCACTTACAACCATCTCTAAAAATTACTCTAAACAGGCTCTTTTTGAGTCATTTACATTGAGATTATACGTTCTACAAGAACAGGAGAACTCCAAATTCAATCTTCAATGTAACAAGTTTTCCACCTCTTCCTGGTTTGTGTTTATTTCTCTTTTTAAAGTTATTTTTAAAAATCCAAATCTGGATAAAAAGTAATTCTTTGAGAGATTTTTTTTTTGGATGCTTTCCAACTAATATCCTGTAGTCAATGAAGGTCAGACATTGAAGGAGACTGGAGAAGGAACACCCTTTGAAACTACAAAGCAGACACCTCTGGAAGCCTTGGAGCCAGGCTGCAGTGAATCACCTGTAATCTCCCCTGGACAGGGCTACTCTGTTACTGTAAACATGCTGGACAGCTTGATCACACTGCGTGGCTATCAGCTGACACAGGTCACCACTGTGAGGACATGTCCTGTTGATAAGATGTGCTGTGCTGTCATTGAAGGACGTCTATTTGCTACAAACACTCACTTTACCCACTAATGAAAGAGGAACAAGCCTTTGAAATGGCACCATTTTTTAAAAGCATGGAAGGAAAACGTTAAAATTCTTGAAAAGCAAAATTTTAAATTCTGACTCACTAATTTAGAGTGAATAGAGGGACAGTCAGAGTTGATGAAAAGAGAAATCGGAGCCAATTTTATTAGAACAACAAGAACTGTGTAGCAGGAGTGAAGAATTACTTTATTAAGTGTGCTCCAGTCTTGTTCTCAAGTGTGTTCACAGCCTCTTTTTTATTTTATCTACACACGTTCTGAATTTTCTTTTGCTATTTAAAAAAAACTTTTCCATAAAAATACAGTAAAAAGGTCAGTCAGTGCTGCAAGAATCCAGGATTCACATTACTGGAGCTTCATTACTGGCGACTAACGGATACAAGAGTGAGTCCATGAACGTACAGTCCCTGAGAGTGTAACAGATTAAAAAACAAGTCTACATCTTTGAGACCTTCAGACCTAACGTATAAAATGTATCACACAGATGAATAATAGAAAACCATTCTTGAGAACAGCACTATAACAACCAAAGAACCTGGATAAGGCATTTGGCCATCACAGAGTGCCAAGTACTTAAAACTGTTAACTATAAACAAAATTAAAAAGCAGGGAACAAATGTGGGCAACATTTGTAACATGGCAGTTAAAACACTACAAAATCAACCTTCTTAATCAATAATATTAATACACCACTAGAAAACTGAATGAAAACTATACTAGAATATAGATGCTAAACAGATGAAATATGTTCACCTGCACCAACGTTCTAGAAATGCAAATACATCAAAATTTTGAAGCACCACATTTTTAGAGAAATAATGATAATCATTATTGTTAAGGGTGAAATGGTGGCTGGAAATACAAACATCCTTTATAGAAGGTAACTGGGTCAATATGCAGAGACTCAGGGCTCGTTCCTTTTGACCTAGGTATCCACCTGCTATAAATTACAGCTAAAGAAAACTTAAAGTGCATAAGCACACGTGACTGCAAAGATGTGGACAAGCATTCATGATGAATTTTATCATGTACTTATGTATGCTGATGCTTTTATGCAATAACCTGGGAAAATCTGAGTATATAATTTAATTGTGGTCATTAAGCACAATATTGTATGACCTTTAGAGACAGTTTATGAAGAATATTTAACTATATGGTACACTTATGATCTATTCAGTAAATAGCTCCACATATGGGAAACTTATATGTGATATAACTCAATATATTACTACTTTCATAATATACAAGGAGGCTGGAGAGATGGCTCCGAAGTTAGGAGCACAGGCTGTTCGTCCAGAGGACATGTGTTTAATTCCTAGCACCTACACGATGGTTCACAACTGTTTGTAACTCCAGTTCCAAGGGATTGGACACCCTCTTCTGGCCGTTGTGGGTACTGTATACATGTGGTACACAGACAAATATGCAGGCAAGACTCATACACATAAAAAATAAATGGAACCTCAAGAAAACGCAGGAGAATGGGTACAAAGGAGTTGTTTATCAATGGGGTACGGATAATCGGTCTGTATTTGTTGTTGCTGTGACAGACATCAAGCACTCTAGACAAGGGTGCTGCCACTAAGCTATATGCCCAGTGCTAATTCTGTACTTCCAAAATCTGTAATAAAAACCGTACTGTTAATGTTAAGAAGCATTTTAAGAAACAGGAGACAAGAGTGAAAGTACTGATAATTTATTTTTTAAAAAAGATTTGTATTTTTTTTTTAAATTAGGTCTTTGAGGATTTTGTACAATGTGTTTTAATCATATTCACCCACTTCCCCCAACTCCTCTCAGGCCCACACCCCATTCCCTATGAGCATAGTTCTTAAATGCTGTCCTCACTTAAGCCTCTTACCTGTGGTATGCAGTCAGTATATGCAAACATTGATTTAAAGCGGTCATCCATGCTTATATGGTAAAGCACACACATTGCTATTTGTTTGTAGTTTTCATTGCCTGGGATAAAAAAAAAATGATGGTTACAATGATAGAAGCCATATATGTATATATACCATACTCAAGTTAGTGAAGTTATATACTCAAAACCTTTAAACTGCTAAATCAAATATTCATGTAAGTTGATCAGGAAAACATTTTGAGATCCTTATTTCAAATCTGAATTCTGAATCACACTTATATTAATTGTGAGTTGCTGTGGGATGGTCTGTATGTCAAGTGTGTTGCTGATTGGTCAATAAATAAATCACTGATTGGCCAGTGGCCAGGCAGGAAGTATAGGCAGGACAAGGAGGAGAATAAAGCTGGGAAGTGGAAGGCTGAGTCAGAGACACTGCCAGCCGCCATGATGAGAAACAGCATGTGAAGATGCCGGTAAGCCATGAGCCACTTGGCAAGGTATAGATTTATGGAAATGGATTAATTTAAGCTGTAAGAACAGTTAGCAAGAAGCCTGCCACGGCCATACAGTTTGTAACCAATATAAGTCTCTGTGTTTACTTGGTCGGGTCTGAGCGTCTGTGGGACTGGCAGGTGAGAGAGATTTGTCCTGACTGTGGGCCAGGCAGGAAAACTTTAGCTACAGTGAGTATCAAGACAGATGTCCATTTTACATGATATATTTTTGGGGAAACTAACTTAATTTCTAGAAATTTATTGTCCCCAGTAGTCTAGTATAAAGTAGACTGAGTCATTGGTTTCCCCATCCTTACAAATGAATACAAATACAAGATTAAAACAGTTGATTTGCAGTCATTATGTATAAGATATCATAAACAAGTATATTTGAGTTGGAGGTAATGAAATCTAGATCATCAGTGAATTGCTGAAATAAGTAGAATAGCATCAGTAACATAAAAAAATAAAGTTTCATCAGAAACTGCTAAAAGCCATACATTCTTTACATTCTGGGAATGTCCCAGAGTTCTGAGGTGATAATATTCTGGGCTAGGGATTTCATTCAGTGTAGAAGGCTTGCCCAGCATATATAAGTGACTCAGTTTGATTTCAAGGTTAGTATGTATAAAAAGGTAATTAATAACAATAGTGACTAATAATAATCACATATTAAACATGCAAAAGAGCCATATTTTAGACAGACAGCACAGCACTCAATCTTCAGAATAGTCTTCAATAGATCTTATCATCCTTCACATGAGGAAACTCAAGCTTAGAGAAAGTAGGTACTTATCACATAGCATTGGAAAAGTTGGGCAGAGATTTAAACACAGGTCTGTCTGCCCTCAAAATCTCTTCCCAGTTGTAATAGTCTTAAACATTTTTATATCATACTAAGGAACATTTTGCCACATAAGGCATTATTATCAGGTGCCAAGAACTTTAAACCTTATTACATGCTAAAATAAAGTTATCTTTCAAGTAGAATTATTTTAAATTGAGAAAACATATCTTCTAGAATTGATTTTAGCAATTATGACAAGGGTCATGTATAATCTCAGCTATTCCAGGAAGACATGGCAGGAAGATCACAAATTTAATACCTGGCCTACATAGTGAGTTCAAGGCCAGTCTGGTAATTTAGTAAGACCCTGTCCCAACTTAAACAAACAAAAAACAGGACTGAAGTGTAGCTCTTTGGTAGAGCGCTTGCTTTCCCTGTGTGCAAGTCGTAGTCTAACTTCCAGTTCTGCCCAAACAAATTATTTATATCAGCAATGAAAATAATTCCTCTGGATTAAAAAACAGATTAATATGATTATATGCTTTACATATGAAGACATGTAAATATTTTTACCTTAAAACTATGAATTAACAATTCAACTGCTTAGAACAGAATGTATGTGGGAAAGGTATTTTGTATTAAAATATTGAATTTTTTTTATAAAATTATAACAAGTTTAAATCTGACTGCAGAAGAGAGTATGATTTGTATTGTTTTCAGATAGGGTTTTTCTGTTTGGCCATGGATGCCCAGGCTGGCCTAGAACTAACAGAGATCCACCTGCCTCTGCCTCCCAGTGCTGGGATTAAAAGCATGTGCCACTATACCCAGCCAGTTTGGATTATTTTACGGTAAATTTCAGATCTCTTATTTGAAAACGAGAAAAGCTGAAGAAGACCTTGAAAAATGAGTGGTATGAACAAAGACCATCACATTAAATGTAAAGTTAAGAAACAGTAATGGAGGAGAAAGTAATATTTAAAATCTTAAGACGGAGGCCAGTAATCTGATGGCTGTACAAAACATAGTATTTATAACTATTATTTGAGAGCATGAATTTTATTGAAAAATATGGTATAAAATTTGTGACACTCTTCCAAGTAATATAAAAGCAGACATTCCCGATGTCAACAATTTGATATCAAAGCAATCTATAATTCATAGATTTCAATAATCATATTTTATATTTTGATATTTAATTATGCTTACCTACCACAGAAAATCATGTTTACATAGGTTTTTATGGTATATATGTGCAAAGGAAAAACGTTTTCTCAGAAGGCAGTATCTCTTAGGTTTGGCCAGACCATCCTTCCCCATTTTCTGCTCCCACCCTAAGAGACTGAGCTACTACAACATCTTCTAAATTTGAGCCCAGGAGAACTCTCCCACTCCAAAGGCCACTATCTCTTCTCTTCCAGTTATTTTCTGCAGGAAACATGGGCCGGGTGGTGTGATTTTTCTCATTAGGATTCTTGAGTTGTAAACTCCACTTAACCCACTATAGCCCTTCTATACACATGGTGGGTCTTCCAAAGGGGCACTCCTTTAAGAGTTACTTAAAGCAATTCTTCCTAATGGCATCCAAGCAAAAACAAGCTGCCAACCATTGGTACATTGGTGTGGCACTCAGGGCTCTGTAAATTTTGAGGAGAGTGGTGCACAGATGGAATATTTTGAGAAGTAGGTCTTAATAACTGGATGTGAATTAGTCAAATCTGTTCAAGTAATAAGGGTAGGTTTGAAAAAATAGCCCAGTTATTATGATTCCTTTGGTATTTACAGCTATAAACATGAATCATGATGAGCTCACTGGCTATTAAGTGTAGAGGGTATAAGCACTTTGATAGGATTTCCTCAGGAATTCACTGTTAACTAGCTGGATCATTATTTGAATGTGCTATTGAATTCTCTTAGCATTTGAGTAGCCATTCTCCCCAAATTGGTCACTCCCAGCTGAAGAGTGTTAATACCTTAACAAACTGGTCGTTAACTCTAGTAACTGATTTTGTGGGGATTGTTGCACTTACAAAGTACATGCAAGAGTTTATAAGAAGTACTGCCACCCCGTACCCCCTGATTCTTTTTAAAGAAATTTACAGCTGTAGTTCAGCTAGAGCAGCTGAAGCGGGAAGAAAATCAGTTTTCTGGACCACTCTCACAATCGATTTTTCTGCCAACTAAAGGGCAAAACACATGCCGGTCAGTTTTGAGTTTTCAATGTCTCCATTTGTTCATCTCTGAAGTGATCAGTAGAAACCCCACTCAGTCACTAATTTTGTAAGACACTGGAGATTTCCCATTCACAGATCACTCAAGCAGAAAGGTGAGTTTTGAACATTAGAATACCAACCTAAATTTCTGCTCTTGTTACAGACCCCGTTCAACACCGCAGAACAGAGTGAGAACACACATTATGAAGCCACGTTCTTAGCCAGGCTCTCATTCCCTTCTCTACCCCACGTCAACTTTGATCAAAGTAGAACACTTTGGGCTGGGTGGTGGTGGTACACGCCTTTAATCCCAGCACTCGGGAGGCAGAGCCAGGCGGATCTCTGTGAGTTCGAGGCCAGCCTGGGCTACCAAGTGAGTCCCAGGAAAGGTGCAAAGCTACACAGAGAAACCCTGTCTCGAAAAACCAAAAAAAAAAAAAAAGTAGAACACTTTGAAAAGAAAGGAAAAATAGGAACAGAAGCACTCCTATATTTAGAATAGCACAGCATTAGGTGATATTTTACCCTGAAAACGCTCCATGAATACAGCATGCTGCAAATGTCAAGTCCAAGATTAATAAAGCATCAGACTCTTAATGTCTATTTACAATATAGTATAAAGAAAACGCCACAGGCTATACCAACCTCTCAGAAATTATCTGCAGCAATTATCTTCTACAAAATATCCTAAAATGCATTTAAGATTATTATTGAAAATTATTTTTCTGGTATTGGGGATTGAATCTAGGACCTCGGGTATGCTGGATAAGCATTTTACCAATGAGCCACATCTTCAGTCCTAGAACATCTTTAGATTTCCATATAATTTTATGCTTAATTTATTATAGTAAATATACACAAATTACAATTAAATAGATTTGGTTTAAACTGGAATTTGGACAAACTAACTTTTAAGACTGCAATTCTACTGGATGGTCCTTTATTTTTTAATAGACTTATTGACAGCAGATATATGAGGACTTGAACAGATACAGCACAACAATTCTAAAGCAAGAGTTTAGTGGGAAAACAAAGCGTCTATATGTTACCATGATCAGTGTGAGAGTTTAGAAAGAGTTCTGTGGTGAAACTGCTGTGTTCAGCTACTTACCACAATCAGAAGCAAAACTGAAAATCTACCATTAAGCTAAACATTAATTTAAGCTAATTATATATTAATGACTATTTCAAGTACTCTAATATTCAAAACTGATAAATTTTCATTCCTTTAAATATGTTCAACTAGTTCTTTTCAACATGTCTTCAATTAGTTTATTACCTTGTTTATAGATTTTTATTATGCCCCGAGAATACGATAGCAACTTGTTTGTAATAAACCTTACAATATGGCCGACTTCAGATAAAAATGATGAAGGCCAAAATAAGGCCCTTAACAAGGACTGCTTTCTAGCTTAGAGTGCACACTACCCACTTAATGTGCTTTGGCCAAATTTCACCATGTAGGATGGAGACACCCCAGGCAATATTCACACACACAGTATTGGAACCAGCTGGTGATAGAAGAATCTTAGGAAAAAAGGCTCCCTGATTTAATTGGGAAAACAGGGGAAGCATAAATTGTCCTGCCATTCCTAACTTCAAGC